TGAATCAAATAACACAATACAATCAATATGAGATTAAAAGGCAAAACTTTGGAAGCCTAAGAAAATAAACAGGTGTCTGTCTAGCAGCCAGAATATTGGTTAGGTATTAGGAGAGTCCAAGGAGGAACTTGAAGACACAGGAATTCAAAAATGAGTTGCAAAACGAGTTTTTGTTGCGAATAATAAATGCATTCTGCATTATTTCTACTTCCAAAGAATGTGCCAAGGTGATTCTGCAAAGACATAACTCATTGATGTAATATTTCCCATGTAGTAAATATATGATTAACTTTAAGGCCGCCATATTACATAGATCTAGCATATCCTCCTCATCATATATTATATGGGTTTAGTTTTGAATATTCTACCATTTTCTGAACGTTGGCAACAAAAGAAAACTTTATAATTTTCTTCTCCATTTTCATAGATAAAAAAAATAGGGTTCAGCTTCTCCTCATTATCAGTTTTATTTGAAGGAGTGGGTCTCTGAGCTTCTACAAAGTGCTGATATCTCAGATCAGAATGAGTAAAACAGCTTTGGAGGTTTCACATGCATAAATTTCCATCAGCTCCTGCTGATGCCCATAAGTCTCTCTTGGCTAAGCTCCAGGCTTACAAACAGAAGTCCTAGAGCTTCCAGAGCTCCTTGAAATGTCATTTACTTCAGTTTTAAACCTCAATATCATCATCATAATGAGTACTGAAAACAAAGGAATCATTGGCATTCTTGGGTCATGTGTTGAAAACAGTCAGTGGTTATATTTGGGCAAATGTCTACAGAGCAATTTTTGTTCTCAATAACCATCCTATTTTTAACTTGTCCTAGTGTACATTCACTTTTATATATGCTGCTCAGGGAGACACACAAACCTCTTTCTCCATCTGAAAATATTACTAGAGGTGTTATGAAGCAGGTACAGTAGTACGTTGCCTTCCCTTCAACATCTTTGAAGAGCAACCAAGGCCGCCATTCATATAACTGGGTTAGAATTTCTGGCACCATTTGAAATACTATGCACTTTTGCAAGTGAGCCTCACAATTGCACCATTGAAGGTTTATCAGAAAACCCAACAGTGATTAGAAAAATTAATATCACTGCAGCTGCACTTACCATGCCACTATGCAACTGGATACCTCCTGCATAATTTCATGTTGTGATATTTCACATGTCTTAGTGAACAGACAAGTGTTACCGAACAAATTCAATCATGCAAGTGTGTCATTCCACAAAGGGGAATTATGTGCCTCGCGATGTCCTCTATTTGTCAACACTGTAGCAACTTAGCCCCTGGGAGATTTATTTATTTTCTATTAGGCAGGCCATTTTTGTACATCTTCTCATTTCTAACCAAATTTACAGTGAGAAATACTCTGCTAATGAGACGTGACAGTTTCATATCCAAGCTTTGGCCCTCTCTAATGGGATTATGTTCACCTCTTAAGACATTCAGACTTACTGATCCTGCACAAGGATATCTGTACAATCTAGAACAGGGATGTCAAACTCACATTGTCATGGCGGCAGCGTGTGACGTATCGGGAGTTTTTTCCCTTTTGCTGAACCGGGTGTGGGCATGGCCAGCCTGTGACACATCCGGCCAGCGGACCATGAATTTTAGAGCCCTGATCTAGAACTCAGTTTTAAAGCTTCAAGGATTGAGTCCCAACAGGCTTTTCTGCAGTAATGGAGGATATTATCTTGACGTAAAGGAAGCCATCTATGGAGAAGTCCTGTCCAATTCTTCACAAACACATGGAGGGAGAGCGCTTCCACGATTCCCCAGTTTCCCTAGTTGGCCATACTATTTTTGGTTAACATTGAAGTGGGGTGATTGGTTGGTGTCCTTGCAGTTATTTTAACAATTTATTTTTGCGTTGCAGGTATTTCATATTTTTCAGGACATGGTGGTCAATTGTTTCATAAAAGCATCCTTCATTTATTCCTGCCTGTGTTTTTGTGGGTATCAACCTGGAATTTGTCATTGGACTAATTATATTGATGTCACAGGTGTTTGAACATAAGGCCACTTGTTTGTATTATTTGCTGTCTGCTGCTGCTTTCTTAGCTGCTAAAACAACAGCCAGGCAAGCTAGTGAACTGTGCTATTCTTTGCACAGGCTGTCTGTACCTCTGCAGGCAAACAACCCCAGTCTTTCATTCCTCTCCCTTCCATCTGAGTCAGGACATGAACCTGACAGCCTTTTCACTTCCTGCTTACCCCCTTGGGGTGAACAGTGCTTATCCCAGAATCAGAATTTGTTAGTTCTCTGTATTATTATTATATACTTTATTAATTAAACATGAAACTCAGTCAACTGATAATGAATAAAGTATATGATGATGATGATGATGATGATGATGATGATGATGATGATGA